TTTTAAAGGGATAACTCTAATTCCCCTATCTAGTGCAAAAAAGACTGTATACAGCTAATCTGCTTTGCCCTTTCAATTAAACTCATCCAGGACGTTCTATGTAGTCAGCACCCTGAATGAGTCATTAAAATTCTCGTTCTGTAAGAGTTGTGTGCAGTGCACTGTTGTTTCTAAATTCCATTAAATCCAAATGGTCTTTATCGCTCCATGACCACTGTGACTTCAATCAGCCAATTTAATTACCTTACCAAATTGTCAGCAGAAGTAGCAAAGAAAAACAGGAAGGGCTGTGACGTTATCAAATTGAAATCTTCCTCTGTGCCGTTTAATCTAGAGCAGTCAATAACAATGCTTCTCACCTTCTTGCTGCCTTCCCGAGGCTCTTAACCTTATTCCTCTTTCAAAGATTTCTGTTGCTGTTCGTAAGACCGATTTTGAACTCCTCTCTGTGTGGATGTTAACGTGTATTTAAAGCTTCTTGTCCTTGGCAGTAAAATTTTCATTGGCTCTATATATTGGAATTACCAACACACAGACCTCTAAGGACTACTACAAGTATTTGCTTTGAAGATTTTGATCACACTCTCGATCTGATCAAAGCCAGGTCTGTACGTTCTGCCATTTAAACATACGCAGAAAGCTTATGTCCTTCCAGTAAAAAAAAAGTGCCAGCGTAAAATGCAAAAGAAAGATGGTGCACATCGAGGTTCAAGTAAAACTCCAGCTCAATCAGAGGGCATTTCTCACCTAAACTCTGGTTGCAAAGCCTTTTGTACAGAGCTAGCTCTCCCTGCTCTTCCATGTTTCTGCTGTGTCTAACAACCATCTGATAAGAACGGTCACTTAAATCACAGAAACGTATGGGCCGGCCCCCACTGACAACTGCACAGGCAGCTAACGCGATGATGCAGCCTCCTGGCTGGTTTTGCCGAGCCCCATTGTAAAAATATTCCTGTGTAGATAAACTCAATCCTTTTGAGCAAAGAGGGCTCATTTAAGTAGTACGGCAGACAAAACCTGCGTCGCACTTTCACGACAGAATTCTCCAGTGCAGAGTAATTCCCTTCTCTGAGATCCCCCCGTGGAGCCCAGTTGTTCTATTTTTTTTTTTTTCTATTCAGACTCACAGATTACGCTATCGACCATACATAGCTCTATTTTGCAACTATTCTTATTATTTTGCTTCACGAAGGACAGTGGGAAAATGCTAGTTTTTGTAATGGCTTGATGCGTTAGTTTTGTTTTTCCTTCTCTCTAGAAAAAAAAAAAAAAAAAAAAAAAAAATCAGTAAAATCAGGAATCAGTAGTAGGAAATTATTCCTGGAAGAGTACAACACCATCTTTCCTTGAAAAGTATTCCACCTCTTTTGTCTTAGCTTTCTTTTGCTTTTAAACTCTGCCTCCCCTCCCCCCCTTCTTTTTCAAGATGCATTCCATCCCACAACACCTACACCCCTTTTCCATCCGCCTGAAGCTAGCTTTCACCGCAGACGCCTGCAACACCAAACTAGCAGAGAGGTTAGACTATGGACCTTTAATTTTCTTTATATCCTCCTTATCGGGTCTGTGAGCTCCCTGGGGAAGATCCTTGATCTTTCACACATTTTCACCTGAGTAACTTGAGAGGGAATTAGGGCCAAACCGCTTTCCCGTCCCGCTCACCAACCTTTGCCGTAGGAAAGACGAGCAGGGTTCTGTTCCGCGTTGCTCTCAGTAGCAGAGACAAGGCCCGAAAGGGGTAATTTAAATAAAGAAGAACCTTTTAGAGTACTATGGAGTTCAAAGAGCACCACATAGGAACAGGGAAGAAAAGAGGGGTTTTAAGCAGCCCGGCCTCTTACTGCTTTGGGCGAGAAGAAATGGGTTTGCGTGAACTCAGGTGGAGAGTTACTGGTAGTTAACAGCTCTTAATGGCTCGCTCATTCAGCCGTATGAGTGCCGGCGTGCCCCGAGGGGGGGAAAGGCAGGAGCGAGGGGGCTTGCGGGACCCGGCGACAATGGGGCTCGGGAACGACTCGGCCCAGCCCGGCTCCACTACTTAGTGTTTCTTGGGAGCTGCTGTCCTGGGTCTGTTCCTCCACTGCACAGAGGCACGGAATAAGAGAACTGTGAAAAGCGGTCCCCGATAATGGAGGGGATCCGCCGACGGTCACAGATTTGGGCTTTTCTAACGGTGCCAAGTAATAAGGAAAAGGCTTCAATCACACTTAGCAAAGACTAATATCTCTCATTCGCCAGGCTGCTATCCTCCTTCGCCAGGCTGGGACCTGGCCTGATATGCACAGCACTGGCTCGGGCTTAAGTTTAACTGAGCAATTGTTATAGCTCCCGTTAGAAACCCTCGGCTATGGTGGGCACAAGCCTCCTGCTTTTCCAGGGCTTGCCTGTGGGAAGCCATTCAGGAGCAGCAGAGGGAAGCTGCTCGCACACCACATGAAGCAGAGTATCACTTTGGTGAGGCTGATGCGATGCCTGCACACCTGGCTGTCCCACTCTGGCAGCAACAGACACGGGGCTGGGTGCAAATGGAGACACTGCACAACCTCTCCCAGTGCCTGCTTCATGAAGCACGGGCAGAAGCAACCCGTGCCATCCCAGGTGGCTACAGCTCCCTGTGTGGTTGCTAAAAGATACCTTGAGAGAGAGAAAGGAGATGCTGGCTAGTCCCAACAATTACAGAAGCCGTGGGAAGGACAATGTGAATCCATGGTGGTTAATTTGCACAGGAGGAATGAGTGGGATGGGGCTCTGGCAGGCTCCAAGATCTCCCCTGTTGCCATAGCACTGCTGGCTGAGGAAGAAGAGCGGGGGCTGGCAGGCTGCCTTCTGCAGGGAACTCCTCAGCTTTCGCTGCTTGGGGAGTAATCCGCAGCCAGAGATGGGCATCCCAGCCCTCGGTCTCAAGGACACTCAAAGGAGATAGGGGCGGAGGGATATTCTCCTCTCAAGAAATAAACAAAGATCCTCCCTCCTTCCCACCATGCCCTGCATGGAGCTGTCACCCCTGGGGAAGGAGCTGGACATCTTTCATAGTCACAGAGTCACTGCACACCTGGACCAGGCTCAGTCCAGACTCTTTAAAGAGGCAATGTGCAACAGGCCCAGCTGAGCAAGGGGGAAGTCTTCCTCCAGCTCTCCTGCTTCTAAGATTTTTCATACTAAGATTAGCTAAACAACCACTCCCTGCTTCAAAGCCTTACAGTTGGGTTGGTGACAATTTAAAGACCAGAAAAATCATTCTGTGCTTTAGAAGCAGACTCAGTCTTCGCTGCTACAAACAATGGAGTGAGTGTACCCTGTTACCTGACTGTGTGACCCGAGGGCAGTGTGGAAGTTAGCCTAGAAAAATGAGTGCATGTGGGACCATGGTTACTCAGGGTGGCAGAGTCCCACTGTACCACCTCCAGTCTCAGGATCATTTATTGTTCAAGTCTCTCCCAAACCCTGCTCGGCAGGGTAGCTCTGTAGGTACTCTGGATTACCAATTCAGAGAGGATGGAAAAGGAGGAAAGCTCACCTCTTGGTTGTAATATGGCCAGGAAGATGCTTGTTTACACACAACAGCTACGCTTGAAAATAATTCAAAGGTCCAACCCTTGGCACCAGTCACGAATCCTAGTTTGCCCAAACTGGACTGTGCTACATCACATAGCTCCGGTGCTAATTTCACAGCCATGATTATAGAGCAGACTGAATGCAAAATCAACCTGGCAATGATATACGGACTCACTTAGCCATGTCCAAAGAAACAAGCATTCCTCAAGACGGTTGCTAAGAGCAACGTGCCTTAAGCACCACCTTTAGACCAGATGGAAGCAGAAAATAAGTGCTACTAGGAATTCAGCACACGAGATCAGTAACAGGCTGGTGACTTTTTAATCATTACTAATCTTCCCCTCCAAATAAAAGTGAGCACGGGGCCCGCCCCCCGGCCGCAATTTAAACAAAATTAGAAACACACCGAGACACTACTCCCGGGAGAAGACGAGAGTTTTCAGTGCCCCACGGAAAGAGATGCAGAGGCTGCTGCAGCTCCCAGCGGTCGTGCGAGGGTGAGAGGCACCGAGGCTGCCGTCTGCCCGGGGGAGCCACTTTCGGGTTGCCCACTCCCTCCACGTTTCGCCCACTCCTCCGGGACCGCAGCCCTCCCGGCCCGCACACCTCGGCTAGGAAGTGAGGTTCACTTTCCCTTCCGCCCTGTCCCTGCCTACTGCAAAACTTTGACAGGGCAGGCATGGTGGCCGGAACGTCTCTCTCGCTTGTTTTCTTATGCACTTATACACAAATGCGCGCACGGTCAGTGCTGCTGAGGTTAGTTTCACGGTTCAGACAGGACAGACTTTAAACTCTCAGCTTTCTTGGAAATCTCATTCTGATCTATGAGTTTTGTTCTCTCTTTTCGTTGAGGGGGGAGGTGTTGGAACTCATGCAACTTTTCTCACATAGAAGAGCCTTGTTTTTATAGCGTAACGTAATGATTCTTTCACAAGCGTGGAACAAGGAACAAACCATCACTAACCCTAAACGCCAGAGAAGAGGCAAGCGAGCGGGAAGCCAGCCCCGAGCGAGGATTACAGCGTCGCGCCCGTGCGACATCCGCTCAGATGGAGCAGAGGCGGGCGGCCGAAACTTAACAACTACTTGACAGGTTTTAACTGATGAAGCACTGTGCTTTCCACTACTATGGAAACAAAATAAGGTACATTATGAGGGAGCCACGCAAGCTCCGCAGCCTCTTAGGCAAAAGCGTTTGCCAGTCATTTTTCTCTCCATTGTTATTATAATTATCATCATCGTGCCGTTACTACGGCTACAAAGAGCTGCAGCGTCAGAAAAAAACACACAGCAATTCATGCCTCCGGATGCAAAATACACAGAGACTTCGGTGCCCGACTCCGATAGCACATCCCAGCTGTCCCCCAACACCCCCTTAGGAGTCAATCCTACGTAAATCGCATTCGGGCTGAAACGCACAATGAAAAAGTGTCGAGAAATCTTACCAAATCTTAATACATGTGTGGTTCCTTGAGAATATCCAATCCACAGTAAGCAAAGAAGGAGTCTAATGGTGCATCTGAAGACTGGATTAGTTAGAATAGGGGAAATAATCTTCATGATGTTTCTATACACACACGCGCAGCCTTACTTCCCCCTTCTAAGCCGTCAGGTTTCTCGGCAAGGTGAGAATGAGAATAAGTAAACTGATGGCCCTCAGACACGATCACGGCATGGTCACAGAGAGAAGAGAGAGTCTACGCTTCCCAAACCCATTAGCAATCCCTGCATGTTCTTCATTCACTGCGCCAAGGAGCAACCTTCAACTGCAAGGAATGGTGGGACATCCATGTTAATCGGGGGAGAATCCTTGAGAAATCCAAACACACACAACGTCCAGCCGAGTAAACCTGGGAGGCAAGAAAGGAGGAAAATCAATAGGTAATCCAGCTCGAGAAATCGCTGAGGTATCACCACATAGCGAGAGTCAATGAGCACCAGCCGTTTCACTGGCGAAGCTTTTGCCGGGCTCCCATTCTACTGCACTGCTACACAGCTTCTGACGCGAAGCCAAGATTAAGTGAGAGAAATTGAGATAGCTCCTCTCTTCTTAAGGCTGCCTGCCAGACAGCCTTCCTGATTTCTATTATGCAACAGATCTGATCGCCTTGCGTTGTCGGAGGAAAAAAACAGCTCGGTTTTATTTACAGCTTTCTAATTGTTATTAGTCTTTCAGTTGTTCTGAACAATAGCTGTAAGTGTCTGTGCCGGGGGCGGGGGTGGAGGAAAGGGCTATAGGAGAGAAGGGAATCTGTTTCATAAAAATCAATTCATGCATTTTAATAGCTGACTGGCTGGCTCGAAATCACTTAGCTTCAGAGCTGTGAAAGAGAATGCTGACGATAAAATCATGCATGTTGTCAAAGTAACGTTAAGGCTAAAAAAAGATCATGATATTTACATTTACTGACTGCTACTCACATTAATACATGAAAAAGGGAAAGTGTGATAGTTTGCCTACTGCACGTTCTTAGGAACTTTCCCCGGATCCAGTGGTAACATAGTACCAGCCTGCTTTTGCAAGGTAAACAGGAACCTGCAGTGCTAGAGCTGCCTTGTTGAATGCATAGACTTGTATTTCAGCTTTGCTCTAAACAGTAACTTGTGGATTTACAGATTTATATTTTGCATTCTATTTTGTCACTATCTTTTTTTTTTTTTTTTTTTTTTTTTTTTTTTTTTAAGCACAGCATTCCTTTCAAAGGTATTGCTGTTCCTTCTTGTACTGAAAGATGCATGTAGTTTGTCAGTTTGCAGTTCTCACTGGGAACAATAGCACTGCCTAGTTTGATAGTGGTGTACTGAGTTTGTATCTGCAACTGCAGCCACGGACTTTTGTCTTATGGCTAGATGTTCCAAAGAACTCACTCTCTAGAATAGTTGAGACTTCTTTCTGAAATACAATTAGTTGTGTGAGTGTAATCATGAAAATAGGTTTAACTAGGACTGTCAGACTTCACAGTCTAAGAGAAGCTTTTGCTGAGTATACTTAAGCATTATTAAAAATATTAAAATACAATTCCTAGACTCCTCACAAGGAAAACGAACTCATTCTATTCTATATTCTGCCTGTAGATATCTTCTGCCTCCTTTATCTTCCTCCCTGACTTTTATTACCAGAGAAAATATCACTGAGAGACTTCCCCCACACATACATACAGATGAATACAAAAAAAAATGTGACTCTACAGAATTAAATGCTGGTGATGCCAAGAAAATTAGAATAGCCTAAGAAATCTATCAGAAGGAGAACATGGTAAAAGTGAGTTCCAGTTCGTTTTTAAATGATACCTCTATATCATGGACATGTAAATAAGTAACAGCAACATTTAAATTATTACTTGTAATGTTGCTGTTTTGTATCTCTGAAAGTGTTCGCAATTTGCAGTAACTTTCTTATCATTATGGCTTTTGGTTTCCTCAGCATGCTTTTACTTAAAAAGCTGGAAAATGCTGATGAAAATAAATGTACGTTCTGTGAAGGGATTATTAAACATCATTGATTTTTTTTTTTTTTTCTCTTTAAGATGGAGGCATAACTGCAGTGTCAGAAATAAGTATCATGAATGGCTAGTTCTGCAGTCTAGCAGGGAATTCAATCAGACGGTTTGACTACTGGAGCACTTTAAAAAGAGCACCTAGTGTTAAAAGCAAGGATATCTAGCGACTCCTTCAGTTCACACTTAGAATATCTCCGAGAAAAAAATGCACATAGAGATGCTCTTTCTTGTATTTGCTATATCCCATTTTTTCCCTCTTCTACTTTTTCATCTTTTATCTTAGTTGAAGAAGAAATAAAACTCACACTGTTGAACACTGTGAGCATTTCTTTCCTTCCTCATCTTTCCTATAATGTTACTGAAATAGAGGACATTAGGCATCTTTTTAATTCTGACTGTTTGTAGGTTGCTTCCTGACAAAGTGATTTTTTTAGAATTTAGCTTAATTTTGGTAAGCGTTTATGAAAGCATAAGATTCCTTAACACCTTCAATAGACAAGACAAACCCGGGACAAAGTGACACCTTTAATGAATCTTATAAAAAAAAAAAAAAAAAAAAAAAAAAAAAAAAAAAAAAAAAAAAAAAGCTGTAATCAAGTCCAACAGAAGTCCTAAATCACCGAGGCATTTATAGAATAACCAGAATCATAAAACACCTTAGGATTCATTGCTTTTGTTATTAAATGCTCAGCAGCCTCATCACACCCTCGGCCGCACGCGTGGGACTGAGGGGGTTTCCTTGCTGACCTCCCTCCGCCGACGGGAGCAGCCCCAGCACCACGGACAGCGCCCGGCGCGGCCGGCTCGCCGACTTTCAGCACCGCGGAGAGCGCTCCCGGCCCGCGCCCCTCCGCGTCGCCTACGCGGCGAGACCTACCGGTGCCCGAGAGCCTTTTTTCCCTCCAATCCTTTCACGACACGGAAAGGAAATTAAAATATGTTATCGGCTTCTGTAGAGACACATCTTATACACTCGTTTATGCTAGCTGGCTCGCTATTTTATGACATTTTATGGGTTCAGGAGTATTGCTCTTATCTGCCATCACACGTTGCCTAATGTTCGGCATCAACACCCTCTCCCTTCTCTCAAGTCTCAACTCCCACTTTGAAGGGAGATCGTGATTAATCCAGTACTGCCTTCTCAAGAAAATTACTTCCTTATTAAAAAGTAAATCTGGCAAGATATAAGATGTTTAGCACTCAAGGAATATTTGGGGTCTGAAGACTATTTACAGTCTATGCAGCTAAATGAACCATTAGAATACACCACTCTAGACTCCTTTTCTGTAAATTGGACTTTAGCTTCATTTCATCTTCATAGAGGGAGGAGGAAGAAACAGTAACTTTTACAACGATCCTTTTGTCCACCCTCCAGAATGATTTCAACATGGACATAGGAAAGTGTTCTTAAGTACTTTCGTATTTCCTTCCTTATAAGACATACAATTCAACGGTTGGAGATCCCTAATAAAATATTCAGCTGGAGAAGCTTGTCTTGTCTCTTGGGGGCTTGTCACCACTGTTATGCAGTGCTTCTCAGATTAAAGTCTTTATGAAACTGTCCTCTTTGCTTCAGTGATCAGCAAATGGGAAATCCACAATTCCTTGGTTATACGTTTTAATTTGTTTTACATTTTAGACATCTATACTAGACATGGTAGTAATACATTTTTAATACACAAGGACAATGTCCAAGTGAAGGTGGTATGAAAAATAGTATTTCAGCTACAGGAGGGGAAGGAGAATAGATCATTTAAGGCCTTTACATCTTCTCTGAGTGATAAAAGCCTACTAAATTCTTCAGTATGTGTCAGGTATAAATGGTGATCTTACGTGCCTAATGTTTCATTCGGAAAGGAGAGATGTGATTTTGATTACCTTATTACATCAGGCACTTTTTTCCTTCAGATCGTATTTTCATGTGCTGTTATCATAATAAAAGTTAATCCACTTCCAGCTAGCTGCCACCTACTGGGATGTATAGTTTTACCATATCACTTTTAAAAGGACATGGCTTTCATTTTCAGGTCAGAGCTATGTCTCTAAGAACAGATTATAGATTTTTTTTTTTTTTTAATCACTCAATCTACAGTTTTGTCTTCTCCCAACAACTACAGATATAAATTTAGGATGTGTAAACCATATGATTCCCAGAGCTTTGTTTTTTGGACATTTTTCAGGAAATCTTTGTAAGTGCTTCAGATTCACATACTGCCACAGACCCCCTGCTGTTGCAGTCTGGTGTGTGGAGAGCCATAGTTTACTGCAACACCTGACCAGCCCCTCCAGATCTCCAGGCATGAGTTGCAGCTTTGCTGACAGTGCAGTAATACAGCCTTCCCTTTTTAAATGTTTGCTGAGTTATTCCAATGATTGTTGATAGTATCATTGGAAAACACACTGCAGCCCACTTGCACTTCACTCCTACCAGTTATAAAAACCATAGGTCCCCTCTGTGTGTTATTATTAGCTCAGTCCAAATTTACAACCAAGTTTCTGCTGTGCTGATAATTAATGACATTTTAAGATGGTAATTAATTTTCAGCTAGCGGAAAGACGTTCATTCTAATTAACAAACTGAGTATGCAATAGATTAACTTGTTCAGGCACTTTTGGGTATCACAGCAATGCACTTTCCTAGCAGGTTTTAAGCAGTGAGAACAAACATTTATGACATTATCTACAGATCAGCCTTTCACCCCCTCAGTTTGCTTTGTGGCTGTGGAAGCTGTGAAAGATTTCGGGAGGAGAGGAAGGATGTATAACGTTTTCCACGCTCTGCTCCACTAAAAGTTTCTAAGGGAAACGTGAAGAGAGGTGTCATTATGAAGTATTCATTCCTTTTCAGCGCGCACAGGGCTCTCTCAGTCGTGCTACCGCTGTAGACAGGAATGTCTCTGGCTTCATACAGAGAGTGTCAGCGCCCTGGCTGGGTTAGAAATGGATGCTCGCCCAGAATGCTGAATTTGTTCGGAAACCAACGCCAGGACTGCCGACAGCCAAAAGGTGGGATGGTTGCACCGGCAATTGGGGCAGGAGGAGACCTCACGGAAGGAGAGC